GTAACAAAGGGCAATAACTCTGTAATTAGTCAAGATAGAGTTATGGTTCTTGTGCACTGCACTTCCTCTCAATGTGCTTGACCATTGTGTGTAGTTATATTGAATTCCAATCATTAGTCTTCAAGTTATGCTCCGGACAAAGAAATGCAACGGACGTCTGGACCGACCGACAGACCGCCCGCCCGACCGACCACCGGGTGACTCCTATATACCCCCCCAAACTTCGTTTTTGGGGGTATAATAACAAGCAATTATCATAGTATTGCAAGCAATCCATAAGTCCCCTACCGGTTAGAACCCCATCAACATTCTGAAGGGCCATTTGCCATTCGCTAATGTTTCAATTTTTCTCTATTTTAAGTAAATTTGTTGGAAAAGGTCTTTAAAAGTGATCACAGGAACCAGTTTTTATGAACAGACAGACAGACGGACTGAAGGACACTTTAAAGTTAATATTTGAAACATCCCTTTACCAAAATATAACATTTTATTTTTAAAAGCAAAATTCTTAAAGAGTAGATAACTCTTGAATTAAAGATGCAATTTCATAAAAATTTTCAGCTCTTTTTGACTAATCACAAATATTGTTATATTTGCCATGTTTTAAGCCTATTTGTTGCCAAGGCAACCAATATTTTTTCAAAATAGAAAGAAAAGATAAGACATGCATAATCTCCAGACTGCCATCTACCCATATGTCAAGTTTCATAAAAATATTTCCAGTACTTTTTGAGTTATCACTGGATTCAGTTTATGTGTAAAATTTGCCATATTTTCAGTCTATGTGTTGCCATAGCAACCAGAATTTTCAACATAGGAAGAAAGAAAAAGATGTGCATAATCTCCAGACTGCCATCTATCCATATTTCAAGTTTCATAAAAATATTTTCAGTACTTTTCAAGTTATCGTGGGATTTAGTTTTGTGGACGGACAGACTGACAGACGGACGGACAGTTAACCTAAAGTCCCATCCGGTAAACCGGTAGGGGACTAATTAAGTACTACTAGCACCATGGATAATTACCATAATTATTGTCCATTTTCACTTACATTTATTGAGGTCAATAACACATGTGCACATGTATAATTTTAGAAATCATAACATGGGAGGTGGTATTTACATAAATACTGAATGTCATGCCTTAATACTTCACAAATAGTTAACAAGATACCTGTTTCAACGAAGCACACCGATAGAGTCACAGTACCTGTGCTCGACCAGCCCAGTGCTCGACCACTACTTCTATTTGTGTATGATTTATGCATTAAAGTGGAAAAACCCTGAGAGTTTGTGTGTGCTATTTGTATCTGACCTGTAACCTCTACACCATGTACAAGTACTCCAAGTTTGGTAGAAGATTGGCCATTTTGCAGACAATATTTAACAGTAGAAAAATACAATTCTACAATAAAAGTAGCAGTAAAAACTATTTAAAACACTGAAATAATGATAATTTAGGGCAAATGTGGACAATAATTTGTTAAATTGCCTTTACTACCTTAATTTATCCCTTCAAAGAAAGTCTATATAACCTTGCAATAAAAAAAACCCTTTAACCCCAAAAACAGAGACCAATTTTCAACTCTAGACCATAATTTGAATATACTTTGTAGAAACTAACAAGCTAATGCCTTGTGAGAAATATCTAAGCTCTAGCCCTTTCCATTTTGAAGTATAAGAACTTTTTAATTTTTTTCTTTTAGTTGCCATAGCAACCAGAGTTTAGCATGGAATGGCATTCTTTGAACAATCTTGATAGAGCTTCATACAAAGAGTATTCCTGCCAAGTTTCATTAATATTGGCCATGTGGTATTAAAGAAGATGTCATTTGAATAAAATGTGGACGGATGCCGGACCCATTTGATTGGCCATCCTAAAAGCTCACCTGCACTATGTGCAAGGTTAGCTAATAAAGAACTTGTAGTGAAAAAGCGTAAAACTTGAATCAGAAATATTGACGAGGTCGCCGACGCTTGGTGAGTAGGACAGCTCTAAATATACTCCCTATAGTCAAGATTAAAAATGATGTGTATAATCTCCATACTGACATCTATCCATATTTTAAGTTTCATAAAAATGTTTTTAATACTTTTTGAGTAATCACAAATATTGTTATATTTGCCATATTTTAAGCCTATTCATTGCCATAGTAACCAAATGTTTCGACACAGGAAGAAATGAAAAAGACATGCATTATCTCCAGACTGCCATCTACCCATATTTCAAGTTTCATAAAAATATTTTCAGTACCTTGTACGTTATCACTGGATCCAGATTAGCTAAAAATAACAAAGTTAATAGCCAAAAAAAAAAAAAAAAAATCAAGCAAAATTTAGACATTTGACCTTAAAAGGTCATGGTAATTTATGAATAAATGTCAAGTTTTATCTGGTCCACTTGAAGGTCTTGTCCCAAGGGTTGTTGTGGCCAAGTATAAAGACAATACACTAAGAACTTAAACAAGGGTGCCATAGTCACAAAATACGCCTGTTTACGAAAGCTTTAGATGGAGATGGGGGCATTATGGATAAGTGTTATCTAGCAAGCAAGTTTTTATCCTTGGCACTGTGTTGTTAAATGAACCTTAAAACAAATCAGTAGGGAAGATATGCACAGGATGTGTGACCTTGACCTTGGTCGCAGGGACCTGAATTTTATGCACGGCACTCAGCCTCACAATGATGAACATTTGTGCCAAATTATATTGAAATCCCTCTATGCATGTAGAAGTTTTGCTCCAGACAAGTGTTTTGCTATGAGCTCTAACTGTGACCTTCACCTTTGACCTAGAGACTTGGTTCATGTGCAGGGCACTACGTCTCATGGTGGTGAACAATTCTATAAAGTAACATTAAAATTCCTCCATGCATGTAGAAAATATGCTCCGGACAACATCTGGATATTTAATCATCTCCAGTGACCTTGACCTTGCAAATATTAACCTAAATTAAATGTGTCACACCTGTAGTCATGATAGTTACCATTTGTGCTACAATCCATCAATAAATGATGACTAAATGGTCCCTATACACATCTTCAAATTTTTATTTTGAACTTTGACTTCTATGTGTAACCTTGACTTTGGTCGCAGGGATCTGAATTTTGCGTGCGACACTCAGCCTCACAATGGTGAACATTTGTGCCAAGTTATATTGAAATCCCCCTATGAATGTAGAAGTTTTGCTCCCGACAAGCGTTTTTCAATGAGCTCTACGTGTGACCTTGACCTTTGACCTGGAGACCTGGATCATGCATGGAGCAATACACATCATGGTGGTGAACATTTCCATAAAGTTTTATAAAAATTCTTCCATACATGTAGGAGATATGCTCCAGACAAAATCTGGATATTTCACCATCTTTAGTGACCTTGACCTTGCATATATTGACCTAAAGTACATGTGTCATAGCCGTAGTCATGATAATGACCATTTGTGTTACAATCCCTCAATAAATGATGATTAAATCGTCCCTATACACATCTTCATATTTTTATCTAAACTTTGACCTCTATGTGTGGCCTTGACCTTGGCTGCAGGGACCTGAATTTTATGCGCGACACTCCGTCTCACAATGGTGAACATTTGTGCCAAGTTATATTGAAATCCCTCTATGCATGTGGAAGTTTTGCTCCGGACAAGCGTTTTTCAATGAGCTCTAAGTGTGACCTTGACCTTTGACCTAGAGACCTAGTTCATGTGCGTGACATGGCTTCTCATAATGGTGAACATTTCTATGAAATTTCATTAAAATCCCTCCATGCGTGTAGGAGATATGCTTCGGACAAAATATCGATGATATTTACTTGAAAATTAAAATATAATTAAATTTCTATGAGAAAGTATTTACATTTGATAAGGTAATTACTGTATGATCTTTATGAACAAATACCAAGTCTACAGAACACCATAGTTATCACAGTTAAGAATCTTGACCAATGAATGAAACATGTGTAAATAAATGTTACATTCTTTAGAACATACTCAAGTCCAAGAAAGAGGATTATTTTATGCCCTTTGATTAAATTCTATTTTTAGAATTGAAAGTGAAAGTAGATCAAGGGGAGAAATTGTGTAAGTCATTTATGAACAAAGTAATAACTTTGTTGTCGCCCTTTGATTAAATTCTATTTACAAAATCTGGATATTTCATCATCTTTAGTGACCTTGACCTTGTATATATTGACCTAAATTATATGTATCACAGCCATAGTCTTGATAATGGACCATTTGTGTTACAATCCCCTCAATAAATGATGACTAAATGGTCCATATACACATCTTCATATTTTTATCTGAACTTTGACCTCTATGTGTGACCTTGACCTTGGCCGCAAGGACCTGAATCTTGCACGCTCCGCCTCACAATGGTGAACATTTGTGCCAAGTAATATTGAAATCCCTCTATACATGTGGAAGTTTTGCTCCGGACAAGCATTTTTCAATGAGCTCTAAGTGTGACCTTGACCTTTGACCTAGAGACCTGGTTCATGTGCGCGACACTGCTCCTCATAGTGGTGAACATTTCTATGAAGTTTCATTAAAATCCCTCCATACATGTAGGAGATATGCTCCGGACAAAATTGGACGCCGCCCGCCCGCCAGGGGCGTTCCCATAATACGTCCCGTTTTTCAAACGGGCGTATAAAAATTATGATCAAGGTTAAAGTTTGCTGACAGCAACAGGAATGCTGCCATGAAAAAAAATTTGAGTTCAAAATGCAGTCAATATACATGGATTAGTAACATTCAGATATAAATTTGTCAGCAAAATACATATACTTTTGAGGGATATTCCCCGACCTTAAGTGTTATCTTCAAATTGATGTTCATATAGTAAAGAGGACATCAATTATCATCTGATTTGTTTGTTCATGCGCTGATAAGCCATATTTATCAAATTAGCAAAACCACTCATTATCCTGAAAAAATCCTGATTCAAATTATTAAAAAGCAAATTGACTTTTCATCTATATGTTATAAGTTTCATAAATTCACCTGAAAACAGAACTTCCTCTTCTCAGTTCCTTTGGAAACCGGGGGCAACTGAAGAAAATCTCCACAAATAATCAGTTGTATTCCACCAAATGGCTTGTCTGACTTCTTCATCACCCTAAATGTATATCAATACAATAGCCAACAACAAGAGCACCTCATGCAGTGTTAACCACACTTAACAAAATTCTAATAACTCCAAAAATATTACTTTCAGATTTTTGCACCTAATCTAACAACTGCATGTTGTCTTGATGCAAGCATTCCCAAATTTCACATGATATCGAGTTCATGAAATCATGAATATTTCAAGACATTCCAGAACTGTTCATGAACTGGTTATAATTTATTCATGATACAAGTTCAAGAACTTTTGTTCATGAACTGTACTTTAGGGGTGTTCATGAACGCTTCAAGAACTATTTAAGAATAGTTCAGAGTCCTTGATTTATTCATGATCTGACACTTCCAAAGATATCATGCACATTTCATGAACCAAAGTCTTTTCTTGAACCTTTTAAGAATAACTCATAGTCCTTTATCTATTCATGAAAAGGGTTAATGGAAATGTCATTCAAATTACATGAACTAATACATAAGTATGTTAAAGTCAATTAAAAGCCAAACTGAAAATCTATTTACTTACAAAAAAAGCTTATCCTTAAACAAAAAACAAAGCACTGGAAATAATAATAAATTATATATCAGTTTATTATGTCCTGACACACATCTTAACACTGTTAGAAATGCACTGATTAAAACATGTCAAAACAAAATCTAATGCCTAGGAAATTATGCATTCACATTTGCTGCAGTATTGAAATTCAGTGTACATGTACTTAGTTGCTGGTGCAAAAGAGAGAACTTTGCTATAATTAAATAGTGGGTTTTTTTCTCAATGAAGGTAGTATTTGTCTCACTGTCCTTAGAATATCACTGCATGCACTAGAAGTTAACTTGTGTTTCTTAAAACAGTTGAGCAACATGAAAGCTTTTGTTTTTTGAAATTTCATTGGAAATTTCCAAATCTAACATCCCACTCTCTGAAGAAGCTGCACACGATGTGACTCTTGATGATGTGCTAAGTGCATCACTGTCATAAGATGAGAGACTTCCAGATCCTGACAGTTCATCACTGAAATCTGTTTGGTTTGTTTCATAATTGTCATCATCCTTTAGTGTAGTGTTCCAGATACTAGGCGAAAAATCTGAAACAGAGTAAGAAATGTGTCAATCCAACAAGACAAGTATGGCTGCTTTTCCTTAAGTTGTGGGTTTTCCTTGAGCCGTCACAGGGTAGGTTAATTTCGTAAAAATACATTTGGAAAGTTTGTATTTAATATAATTTGCTGTTAAAAAGTTGTAAATCTATTATCTATCTATTATAGATACCTTTGAAACTAAAGAAGTTATAGTAAGAAATAACATTTTTTATGTGAAAAAAATCTTTAGTTTATGGGGAGATATTTCTTGCACTATTGGTGCTAGAGTTATGACCCTTGTCACACAACATGTGGTTAATGATAAGGAACATATATTTGAAGAATGAAGCTGATCCCTTAAGAAAAACATAAGTACCCGTAAGAAATAATATTTTTTAAGGAAAATTCTTAGTTCAAGGGGAGATAAATCTGAAAATATTGATGCTAGAGTTATTAACCCTGTCACATAAGATGTGGTTTATGATAAGGAACATATATTTGAAGTATGAAGTTGATCCCTTATAAAATAAAGAAGTAACAGTAAAAAATAGTATTTTTTCAGGAAAATTCTAAGTTCAAGGGATATAAATCTAAAAATATTGGTCCTAGAGATATGAATTTAACATAAGATGTGGTTGATGATAAGAATTTGTAAGTTGATACCGTAAGAAAATGAAAAAGTTATAGTGAAAAATATTAAACAGCACCAAAATTATAATCTGAAATCTAGACGCGGGTGCTGACACCGGGGCGAGTAGGACAGCTCTCCATATACTTTGTATAGTCAAGCTAATAAAATGAGTTAAATAAATCAACAAGAGCCGGTTGAACCGGGTGATGCTCCCCGAATAGGTTTTGGACACAGGAAGGTATACCCTTTGTAGTGTCAGAGTTATGTCACAGACAAAGTTCAAAGTGTAAAAATAACCCAGATGTTGTGCACGACACATTGTCTCAATATGGTGATCATTTTTGTGAAATAGTTGTAAAATCCAACTTCAAATAATAAAGTTATGGGCCGGACATGATTTTGCTGCAAGGTCATGCTGTGACCTTGACCTTCAAGGTAGCAACCCATATGTTGCATGCCACACGTGGATTTAATATGGTGATCATCTCTGTGAAATAGTTGTTAAATCCGACTTCAAGTAATGAAGTTATGGGCCAGACACGATTTTGCTGCAAGGTCATGCTGTGACCTTGACCTTCAAGGTAGCAACCCAAATGTTGCGCACAACACGTCATCTCAATATGGTGATCATTTCTGTGCAATAGTTTTAAAATCCGACTTCAAATAACAAAGTTATGGGTTGGACACGAATTTGCTGCAAGGTCATGCTGTGACCTTGACCTTCAAGGTAGCGAGCCAAATGTTGCGCGCGACACTTCGTCTCAATATGGTGATCATTTCTGTGAAAAAGTTTTAAAATCCGACTTCAAATAACAAAGTTATGGGCCGGACACGATTTTGCTGCAAGGTCATGCTGTGACCTTGACCTTCAAGGGAGCGAGCCAAATGTTGCGCGCGACACGTCGTCTTAATATGGTGATCATTTCTGTGAAATATTTTTAAAATCCGACTTCAAATAACAAAGTTATGGGCCGGATACGATTTCACTGCAAGGTCATGCTGTGACCTTGACCTTCAAGGTAGCGACCCAAATGTTGCGCGCGACACATCGTCTTAATATGGTGATCATTTCTGTGAAATATTTTTAAAATCCGACTTCAAATAACAAAGTTATGGGCCGGACACGAATTCGGGACGTACGTACGGACGGACTGACGGACGGACTGACGGATGGACAACCCGACGACTATATGCTTCCCCGAAATTTTTCGGGGAGCATAATAATCAGAAATAAGTTTTAAGAGATGCATAAAAGATCAACAGTACAGAATACAAATAGTTAAACATTTTTGTGTAATTTCCATGCTTGTTCCTGTGACGTCATCAAACGTCACTGGTCTACTTTTTGAAATGCCCACGACTCTAGGTAAATAAAGCATAATGTTATATATGTAGAAGCCTCATATTCTACCTCATAAACCTACATCAGAAATGTTGCATTATGAATGGAATAAAAGAAGTTGAAATAATAGTTATACATATTTCAACTGAACAAGTTTTCACAAAGCTTTAAACAGACATAAACAAGAAAATTTTATATCAATAAAAATGTTTACCTCTTATATTACTTTCACCAAATTCAAGAGACTTTCATATTTTTCGGGATTTCCACCTGTATTTGGTGCTTCAAGGCACTGCCTTGCTTTCGTCAGTGAGGTATAATTTATTAGTTGGCTTAACTGGAGCTGAAAGCACAAATGACAGTATTACAATGGGAAAATGTTCTTAAGCTTTCAATAAAAAAGTTCTGATTTTGTTTTTTTCTCATAATTATGTTCAACACATTTAACTTTGTAAACCATTTTGCAGATGTTTTTGCAGATTTATGCTCCACAAGTGGCACTACATGTAAGTGCTATGTGCCAGTATTTTAACAAAGATTCTACATGTGGATGGTAATCCCAAAACCGGAAGTGTTCTCCCGCAACAGGTGCATGGTTCCGTGTTCTGCTTTATGATAATGTATGCAAAACAAAAGCCAGAGAATACTTCCAGTAGGAATTACCTTCTAAAAATACCCTCTGCATGTAGAATATTTTTTAAATACTTACTGCCTCTCGTGAAGAATAGGCATTTAAAAAGTATGTAAAATCTAGTTATTTGCATGTGTATTCGCCCAATTTGATCTCTCGTGTTAATTTAATGCATCTCAAGCATAATTACCCAGCTACAATGTACATGTCATGATAGTCTTATCTTTCGGACCTGGGTGATTTCTTACTTTCTGGCTTTACTACCTCAACTTGCATATAAATAAAGATCTGTTCATAGTCAGTTTTGATAGAAAAATATAGGTAATATCATCGGATTTTCACATGGAATCAACACAATCTGACCATATTACCCAGTTACCACCATCATGGTCCATGATGAAAATTTTGTCAACAAGAATGGACATTTCTATTTTAACTTTTAAAATATGGATATCATATTACATAAATAACTAGATTAAACAAATTTTAGGTCAAATCAATGCGACAAGCACTTTTGGCTATTCTCAGACTCCATCAAAATTGTGCCGATCCGAAATGCAAACATCCGAATATTATGAAAGTGTTATATAATCAAGGTAGACTGTTTTCGAATAATTAATTCGTATAAATCAAACCTCGCTTATCAAACATAGTTGATTGAACAGAATAATATAAATGGTGTAAAATAAACTAACATTTACCACATAAAATATTCCAATAATAACAATCGTGCGTTGATAATGAGGATTAAGGTAGCACACCACAGTAATGTAAGCCACAGCTTCGAATGGCCAGGGAGGATTTCTTGGATATAGTGAATATTCTGGAATTAAATGACTGGTTGTCTTTAAAATGCATTTTCAGCATGAAATTTGTTTTTGTGACATCTAATATGATCACTGGCAAATTCGAAAACATGGCCAGAAATCACATGCTGTTGATTTTATATGTCAAGGCCGCCATTTTTTGTAAACATTGCTTTTGAACAGCATGCACGGTAAAAAAAAGTCATTTTACAGGGGGGTACAAACTTTTAGCAATAGCAAAAAATCTACAAGGTTGAGGACTTCTTTCTTTGTGATATTTTGCATGTATAGGGAGTTGCTAAAGCAGAGATGGTGTTCCTTTAGCCGGTATATTTGCAGATATTTTTTGCCAGAGGGACGAAATGTGTTGTTTTGGGTCTCGGGCCACTGTAGATTTTGGGCTTCAACGGAATGAATTGCAACTTTTTTGACTGCCTGCCTATTGCAGATGGGATAATTTCTTTGTAGATTTGCAATCTTATGTCATATATGTTCTCAACAAAATGTGTTTTCTTTTTCCAGGTTGTGTAGTTTGGTATCAGAATTATTAGACGTATTGCTTGTAGGACATTGACGGCAGGAACTTGAAATTAACTGTGGAGTGCTACCGAAATTTTACATCTTCCGTCTGATCGCTCACATCCTTGAGGATTATATTTATAAAATGGAATAAAAAATTTGCTTGCTACTAAAACTTTCTTTTCAATTATTCTACATTTAAGAATTTATCAAAACAAGCTTTAGCTATCTATTATTACCATTTCATCAATAAAAAACATTGATACATAACAGGCATCGAAGACATAAGCGACCCACCTCAAAATCGTGTGACTTCGACTATCTCCGGAATATAGACTGGTCCCCTGCGCACTTCTAAAACCATAATAGAACAGGGAACCAGATTATCCGATGACTGACAAAAAGGGCCGAAAGGTTGCGATTGAGTCCAGTGATTTTTTAGTTGAATATGGCGGGCCCGCAACTTTTTTACCTAATGGGATCAGTAATAGGTAAAATCCATATTCTGAAACCAATCAAGGATGACTACACAGAATGTGTGCTGGTATCTGCGCAGTTCAATAAAAAACCCTACGAGGCAGTCATCTGTGAAATTCATTGTAAGTATTCTGCATCAAAGCATGTGACGCCACGTGGTGCAGTTTTGATAAAATTTCGATGTGGACGATTTAATGTTGTTCATACATGGTCATTTAGTTAAGGACACTCACTTTTATGTTGTTAATCTGTAAAATTGTTATTCTACTGACTACAGTGCAATAATATTTAAATTTGGAGACTTCGACCCCAAAATACTTCAACAAAATCATTGCCCACCCCCCTTGTCTAACAAAGCGACCGAAAACAATTCACAAAATATCGAGACTTCGTCTTTAAAATTCATTGTTTACCTTCCAGTAAAACTTGATTTACTCCAATTGCAAACACATAAATAGTGTTTAATCAAGTGAAATGGTATTTACACATGTTTACTGGGTTAAAGTACAGATTTGAAGCAGATTTTACACAGGTCAGAAATTATATTCAAGCAAGGATCATACCTTCAACTATACAAGCAATACACATTGTTAACAATCTTATCTGCTATGAACTCCACTTAAATATTTAGAAAAGTTTTGCAAATGTATATCAAATAAGCAGTTTAACAATTTCATTTACAGCCAGCAGAAAGTACCCGAATGCTCAAGCAAAACTTCCTCCAAAGTACCAATAGACTGATGTGAAAAAACAGCAGTTGGCAAAAGTGGCTGGTAAGTAATTTAATGTTCTATTGTAATCTTGTACTAGTACAAGTCCGATGGTAGCATTTTAGGTTTACTTGGATGATTGGCTTCAAATTGGTCCCTTGTATTGGTAGCTTAATGCTTGTAATTTTTAGCTCACCTGTCACAAAGTGACAGGGTGAGCTTTTGTGATCGCTTTTCGTCCGGCGTCCGTAAACTTTTACTTTAAATGACATCTCCTCATAAACCACTAGGCCAATTTCATCCAAACTTCACAGGAATGTTCCTTTGGTGGTCACCTTTAAAAATTGTTCAAAGAATTTAATTCCATGCAGAACTCTGGTTGCCATGGCAACCGAAAGAAAAAACTTTAAATAACTTCTTTTAAAAAACCCTAAGAGCTAGAGCTTAGATATTTGGCATGAAACATCTTCTAGTGAGTGTCTACCAAGTTTGTTCAAATAAAAGCCCTGGGGTCAAAATTGGCCCCGCCCCGGGGGTCATTGATTTTCCTTATATGTGTATAGCAAAAACTTAAAAAAATTTCTTTTAAAAAACCCCAATAGCTAGAGTTTAGATATTAAGCATGAAACATCTTCTAGTGAGTGTCTACAAAGTTTGTTCAAATAAAAGACCTGGGGTCAAAATTGGCCCCGCCCCGGGGGTCATTGATTTTCCTTATATGTGTATAGCAAAAACTTAAAAAATTTTCTTTGAAAAAACCCAAATAGCTAGAGTTTAGATATTAAGCATGAAACATCTTCTAGTGAGTGTCTACAAAGTTTGTTCAAATAAAAGACCTGGGGTCAAAATTGGCCCCGCCCCGGGGGTCATTGATTTTCCTTATATGTGTATAGCAAAAACTTAAAATCTTCTTTTAAAAAACCCAAATAGCTAGAGTTTAGATATTAAGCATGAAACATCTTCTAGTAAGTGTCTACAAAGTTTGTTCAAATAAAAAGCCCTGGGGTCAAAACTGGCCCCGCCCCAGGGGTGTCATTGTTTTTAACTATATGTGTATAGTAAAAACTTAAACAAATCTTCTTTTAAAAAGCCCAATGAGCTAGAGCTTAGATAATTAGCATGAAACATCTTCTAATGAGTGTCTACCAAGTTTGTTCAAACTAGAAATGTGTCATCATGCCACGGATGCCCCCGCATGCAGCCAAAATTTCAGATGTTATAATATTTAGTTCCAAATTTGTTTGCACAAATTATTTTTTTCATTTGCAGTTCAAAGCCCTTAAAACTTTTCAATGTTAACACAAACCATTTTCATACAATGTTCAAAGCACTGAAATTATTTAGTCTTAACCTTTTGAAAATAGCATATTTCATATTTGTAGCCAAAATAATGGCTACATACATTTCCACAAAAGTATGAGTGCTGAAACTGAAAGTTCAAAATTTTTCCAACATTCAAGAAAGATAAGTTTGTCCAAAATCATTGAACCACGACCAAATTCAAACTTTCCACAAAAGTATGAGTGCTGAAACTGAAAGTTCAAAATTTTTCCAACATTCAAGAAAGATAAGTTTGTCCAAAATCATTGAACCACGACCAAATTCAAACTTAAACTGCTTATTCCTAAGATGTATCTATATTATTTTCAAAGTGAAAGGGACATTACTCTGCCAAAAAATCATCGAACCATGACCAAATTCCAACTTGGTCTGCCCATTCCTTTGACATAACCATATGTCAAATTTGAGTTGAATATGTAACACTGTTGGGTAGATAATGAACAGAAACTGTAAATTTCATATTATTTTCAAAGTAAAAGGGGCATTACTCTGCCAAAAATCATTGAACCATGACCAAATTCGAACTTGGCCTGGGCATTCCAAAAACGTATCCATATGTTTAATTTGAGTTGAATGTGTTGTACTGTTGGGGAGATAATAAATAGAAACTGAAAATTTCATATTATTTTCAAAGTGAAAGGGGCATAACTCTGCCAAAAATTATTGAACCACGACCAAATTTAAACTTGACCTGCGCATTCCTTTGATGTATCCATATGTCAAGTTTGAGTTGAATGTGTTGTACCGTTGGGGAGATAATGAATGGAAACTGAAAATTTCATATTATTTTCAAAGTGAAAGGGGCATAACTCTGCCAAAAATCATCGAACCATGACCAAATTCGAACTTGACCTGTATTTTCTCAAGACATATCCATATGTCAAATTTGAGTTGAATGTGTTGTACCTTTGGGGAGATAATGAACGGAAACTGAAAATTTCATATTATTTTCAAAGTAAAAGGGGATAACTCTGCCAAAAATCATCGAACCATGACCAAATTCGAACTTGACCTGTATTTTCTCATGACATATCCATATGTCAAGTTTGAGTTGAATGTGTAGTATCGTTGGGGAGATAATGAACGGAAACTGAAAATTTCATATTATTTTAAAGTAAAAGGGGCATAACTCTGCCAAAAATCATCGAACCATGACCAAATTCGAACTTGACCTGTATTTTCTCATGACATATCCATATGTCAAATTTGAGTTGAATGTGTGCAACCGTTACTTAGATAATGAACGGAAACTGATGATGACGGAATGACAGAATGACGGAATGACGGAAGGACGGAATGACGGAAGGACGGAAGGACGGAACAGCGGGTAACACTATATGCCCCGGCCATTACATGGCGGGGGCATAATAAAAGCCTGGGGTCAAAATTGGCCCAGCCCCAGGGGGTTTGATTTTCTATATATGCATATAGTTAAAACTTAAAAAATCTTCTTTTTAAAGAACTCAAAGAGCTAGAGCTTAAGAAATTTAGCATTAAACATGTTCTAATAGGTGTCTACCAAGTTTGTTCAAATAAAAGCCCTGGGGTCAAAATTGGCCCCGCCCCGGGGGTCACTGATTTTCCTTATATGTGTATACTATAGCAAAAACTTAAAATCTTCTTTGAAAAAAACCCAAATAGCTAGAGTTTAGATATTAAGCATGAAACATCTTCTATAGTACGTGTCTACAAAGTTTGTTCAAATAAAAGCCCTGGGGTCAAAACTGGCCCCGCCCCAGGGGTGTCATTGTTTTTAACTATATGTGTATAGTAAAAACTTTAAAAAAAATCTTCTTTTAAAAAGCCCAATGAGCTAGAGCTTAGATGTTTAGCATGAAAACATCTTTTTTATGGGTGCGGGGGGGGGGGGGGGGGGGGTGTGTGTGCTATATACAGGTGAGCGACCTCAGGGCCATCATGGCCCTCTTGTTTATCAGAAGACATTGGAAATCAAACTTGGTATCATTGGTTGGGAAGCTTTTATTCAAATTGACTTGTATAAATTTTTGCAAAATGCCAATTTCTTACACCATATTAATAATTTTTATTGTAAAAATATTTTCTGTTAAATTTGTGTACTGGAATATTTTTGCAACATGAATAAAACAAGAGCCACCGCCGGGCGGGGGCAACGCTCGACTTTTTACTTTTTCTAAATGCAAACATAGAAAGGTTTGAACATATATTGATGTTTCCTTTTTATAAATTTAGTTGGTCTGTCTTGTCACATTAGTTTTGTTTATATATTTTGTATATATATGAATAGAAACATTCAGCATATTTCTAAAAATAGCAACAGTACGCAATTTCTAAAAATAGCAACAATGACGCAATTTCTAAAAATAGCAACAATGACGCAATTTCTAAAAATAGAAACAATGACGCAATTTCTAAAAATAGAAAAAATGACGCAATTTTTAAAAAATAGAAAAAAATGACGCAATTTCTAAAAATAGAAACAATGACGCAATTTCTAAAAATAGAAACAATGACGCAATTTCTAAAAATAGAAAAAAATGACGCAATTACTAAAATAGCAACAATGACTCAATTTTAAAAATAGAAAAAATGACGCAATTTCTAAAAATAGCAACAATGACACAATTTCTAAAAATAGAAAAAATGACGCAATTTCTAAAAATAGAAAAACATGACGCAATTTCTAAAAATAGAAAAAATGACGCAATTTCTAAAAATAGAAACAATGACGCAATTTTTTAAAAATAGAACAAAAATGACGCAATTTCTAAAAAATAGAAAAAATGACGCAATTTCTAAAAATAGCAACAATGACACAATTTCTAAAAAATAGAAAAAAAATGACCGCAAATTCTAAAAATAGCAACAATGACGCAATTTCTAAAAATAGAAAAAATGACGCAATTCTAAAAATAGAAAAAAATGACGCAATTTCTAAAAATAGAAAAACATGACGCAATTTCTAAAAATAGAAAAAATGACGCAATTTCTCTAAAAATATATAACAAAAATGACACAATTTCTAAAAATAGAACAAAAATGACGCAATTTTTTAAAAAATAGCAACAATGACGGCAAATTTCTAAAAAATAGAAAAAAATGACGCAAAATAGTAAAAATAGCAACAATGACGCAAATTCTAAAAATAGAAAAAAATGACGCAATTTCTAAAAATAATAAAAACATGACGCAATTATATACATGTATATATATATATGTATATATATATATATATATATATATATATTTTGATATATACATGTATATATATATTTGATAATATATATATATTATATATCTATATATGTATATATATATTAATACATGCATGCTATACTCTAATATATATATATATTATATATAATATACCTGCATATATGTACCTATATTATATATACACACACACAGCATATATATATATAACATATACTATACATACACACACACCAATAAATGCACAATCTGAGAAAATTCAGTAATATAACCTTCAAGGTCAAGGTCATTAAAGAGCCCAAGCAAATTTGGGTTTGATAAACAACAAGGTCTGGTCCTTAAGAATGTTCTGTTATAATATGAAGTTTATCCCTTCAAAAAATAGCAAAGTTACATCAGTTACTTGCCAAAAACAATGAAAATTTCAATAATTTGACCTTCAAAGGCAATGTCATTAATGAGTGAAGGTCAAGGTCTTTCGGTATATTTTTAACAGTTATTCTTTGAAGACTATTATGTTCAAGTTTGAAGACAATCCATTCAAAAATAACAAAGTTACAGCCAATAAATAACCCCAAAAAAAATGAAAAATTTCAATAATTTGACCTTCAAAGTCAAGGTCATTGATGAGTGAATGTCAAGGTCTGACTGGTTATTTTTAAGGGATATCTTTGAAGATTATTATGTTCAAGTTTGAAGACAATCCATTCAAAATAACAAAAAATAACAGCATGAACAAGCAAAAATTGGACTTTTAACGCTTGAAGGTCAAGGTCAATTTATGGAATGAAGGTCAAGGGTTAGTG